GCATCTTTCTGCACTGTTTGGATTGCTGTTTCCTCAAATTCAATATTTTGTAGCCTCACTTCCGCACCCCACTCGATTTTCCCCCCAATCTTGCCGCCTTCTTCCGGATCCGCAATAGTAGGTGGGAATTGAATGTTTTCCGAAGCAGCAAAATAGTGTATGGTACTATGTGTGATGCGTAGTACTGCTGTATAGTAAAAAACATCCATTGCTAACTGGTCCAGGGTTGAGCTGCTGATCGAAAAATGATCAATTTTTCGGGAAAAATTTCGAGGTCTTCCAGAGTCTTGCGCGTTTTTCCAGTTGGATTTCACTAGCTGAACGCTTGCAGCCTGTAAACCAAGAAAACAGTTCGATGGCGCTGCAAAAAGCGCTTCTTCAAAGATAATTTCATTGACTGTTGAGTTGTAGAATATTGTACTGGCAGCAGAATGTACAGTAATATTGCCGCGAAAAAAGAAATGGCGAATGCTCCGCATTGAACCTGAAAAATATAACTCATTGCTAAGGCGAAAGTGACGATGAAACAGCAGCTAATAAAAGTTTGTTAAAGTAAGAACAAAAGCACGGATTGATAGAAAACAAGCAAGCAGCTTTACCTCGGCCAAACAATTTTTTTTTTTAAATTACACACAAAAGTTCAATAGGTCGAGCCGATCACTGAGAAGCTGTATAATTGTTTTTAGTATGACTCTGGTTAGAGTGCAACAAACGAAAGTGAGAACGCTCCGGCTTTACCTGCTAAAACAGGGAACACAACTCCTCGAGGATTCATATTCCTGCCGGCCTAATCCGTTTGCGTTTACAACTAACAGATGAAATATGGACTGCTCTTCACAAGGCTTTCATAATTATGCACGGTATATCACACTGACTGTAATATTGACTCACCAAAAGCTCCATCTTCGATAACTTTTATGACTGAATCTCGGAAATAAATATAATCGACATCAGCGACGTCACTGAAAGCACCAGCAGCCAATGTCCCAATGGTGGTATTGCGGAACCAGATGTGTTTCATGTGCTTTAGACCCGAGAAAGCATTTGCTGGACAATAATGCATGCTCACTGCTTGCATGGTCAATTGCGCTGGAGCTTTTCGGAGTCCGCGAAACACCCATGATGATAATTTCAAATCCTTGACTCGAATTATCT